TGGATTCGCCGGGCTCGGTGGCTCAGCCTGTAATCCCGCGCCTTTGGGAGGCTGAGGTGAGTGGATTGCCTGAGCCCGCAGGTTCGAGACCCGCCTGGGCAGGTGAGACCTCATCTCTACAATAAATCAAAAAATCAGCCGGGCCCATGCCTGTGGTGGCACATGCCTGTGGTGGCACATGCCTGTAGTTCTGGCTACTCGGAAGGCTGAGGCGGAAGGATCGCCGGAGCCCAGCAGGTCGAGGCTGTGGTGGCCGGGAGCGGCCACTGCACTCCAGTCTGGGTGACAGAGTGAGACTCCAACTCAAAAAAAAAAAAAAGGAATTTGAGAGCATCTGTCAAGCCTTGTTGACCAGGGTCCAAGTGACTCGGGGGAGGGAAATGGGTCTATCGCCCACCTAGACACAGACAGACCTACTGGAGCGAAGGGGCTCAAGAGTCACAGCCCCCCAGTCACTGGCCTGTATGTGAGCCAGGGAGCCATGGGCAGGGGGCCCTGGGTGTCTCAGGACTCCTGTGTCCAGGTGTCACCCCACACACTCAGGTGGACATCCTGTTTGCCAGGCCCTGCAGCGAGTGCCGCGGGCGGGAGTAAAGAGGCTTGAGGCAGCTTCACCCCTCGGAGGCTGGCATCACTGGAGACCTGCCGAGCAGCAGTGAGGACGGTGACCGGGAATGAGTGGGGACCGCCTGCAGTCCTCGTGGCTGTCGGCAGTAGATTCCAGTGTCCCCGTGCTCCACGCAGTGTCCTGGAGAAGCAGGCAGGAGAGGCCCCTGGAGGGTAGATTGGCCATGAACGCTGGCCCCATGCTGCAGAATTTATCTTGGACACTTGAGTTTGCTGCTAGATGCCTGGAGCCCCTGTGGGCCCGTGGGCATCCATACACACATACACACACAGAAGAGGAGCCTCACCTCTGGGCCTGGGTGGCCCCCAACCCTGCAGCTGCCCTTTTGCCATGAGTGCTGCTGTTGGACTGCTTGGTCTCTGAGGCTGGGGACCTGCTCTCAGCCCTGGGGTCCGCATACCCATCTGCTGGCTCCTTCGGTGCGCTCACAGGATACTGTGCCCAGAGTCTGGGCAAGGCCCGGGCCTCCTGAGACAGCAACAGGCTTGTGAGCCTCCCTCCCCCCCCGCCCCAACCCCCTTTCTGGGTTCGCTCAGGGCAAGGAGTGGTCCCTGAGCTCACATCCCTGCCCTTACCACAGTCTGGCGGCTTCCCCTTCACTGACTCAGCCCAACCCATAAGCCCCCCTCCCCACAGATAATGGCTGCTCTCCCCTGGGTCTTGCTGTGGGTGGGTGGGCCATGGTGGGCAGCCAGAAAGATGAGGGGCTTGCGGGCCACACTCCTGCCGCCTTGGGCCCTGTTCTAGAGGTGCCCTCGGCAGGGCGGTGCAGGCAGCTCTCCTGCAGGGCACTGCCTGGCCCAGGGCCCCAGCTGCCAAAGGAAAGTGAGGCTGCACCCTGCAGTTTTGGGGGCTCCTGCCTGCAGAGGGAATGACAGGGAAGGGGTGGAACTGGGGGCAGGGAAGCACAGGGAATATTTTTGTAACTGCTGTTGCTGGAGCGAATGGAAGTGGGATGATTTTAAGTTATTGTTGCCAAAGAGATGTAAAGTTTATTGTTGCTTTGGGTGGGGGGACTTGTTTTGGGTTTGTGTGGTTTTTTTTTAAATTAGTTTGAGGCTTAGGATGCTGGTGCAATGATTTTCTTGTTCCTTTTTTGTTTGTTTTTTTAAGAGAAATCAAGCTAAGAAAGCCTTTGTGTGAAGTGTGTTTTTTCTTTTGGGGTCAGCAGATAAAGTCCTGGGTAAGGGGGGAGATGGGCCACGATGGGGGACAGGCAGGAGGGAGGCTGCCTCTCTCCTCCCCACTGTCCTTGGCACATCCTGGCGGAGGAGACAGGGTCTTGGCCCCACTTTGCTGGCTGGGTCTGCAGACCCCTGCAGCCTTCTCTTCCTGTCCTCAAAGATGGCCCTGCCAGAAAGGGGTGAAGAGGGTGACCCTCAGGCCTCACAGGGCAGCTTCTTTCCTGCCTCCCAGGGATGTGCCTCTCAGCCTGGTGGGAGGTAGGGGGCAAGAAAGTGGGCCTCCCATGCACAACTCCGATGGCCTAGGCTGCTGCTCAGCTCAAGTGCCCACCTGACCTGCCAGTCCCTTGGCTTCCTGTCCCAGGGTGTGGGCAACTGCAGGCAGGTTGGGGGTCCTATGGCCCTCCTTAGAGGGTCTTGGAGGAATAAACTTTGCTGGAGACTTTTCCTCAGATACAGACTACTGTCACTAACAAAGGTCACCATGCTTTATTTTGTCCACAAATGTCGAGGAGCACAGGTCTGATGATGGTTTCAAAAGCCCATGTTTCAACAGAGGACCCTAGTCTCCACAGGAAGCATCTGAAGTGTGGAGACCACCCAGGAATCCTGGGGCAGAATCTAGAGTCCAGGAAAATGCCCACCTAGCAACGGGCATGCTGCTGGGTGACCCAGGCCACAGCACCTGACACCCCCCACCCCCGCCCTGGAGACGAGAAGAGTAGGAGGCCTAGCTTCAAGGTTCTGGAGAGGGGCGGGAGCTCAGGCAGGGAGAAGACTGGTGCCTGGTGGGAGAGGCTGGAAGTTCCTCCCAAAACTGGCTGTGGGAGTCTGAGACACAGCAGATCCCCACGGGGGGGGGGAGGGGAAGGGTCTGGGTCACACCCCAGGCAGCCGTGCAGGGAATTCCATGCTTGTGGTAAGTTACTCTTACAACAAGAGAGTGGATCTCCCAGTCCCATGCTCGGCGCACAGATCACACACTGGTGCAGGTGGGGCAGCCTGTTTATTGACCAGACGTGAGTGGAAAGCAACGTGCGAGCTGGGCTCCCTTTCCAGTCACCAGCTTTCTAAACGTCCTCCCCTGACTCCAGGGCACGCCACAGCTCCATGGCCACATGACCAGAGGCTCATGCCCTTGGCAAGGTGGGCTCTTAGCCCCAGGTGGCACAGCCAGTGGGTCTCAGCCCCTCAGGGGCCAGTGCCCCAGCCTAAGCCCCACCCAGGAACAGCCAAGGTCCAGCCCAGGCCAGAATGAAGTGGGGTGAGGCCAGGCAGCGAGGGGCTTAGATGTTCTCTCAACAGGAACACACAGTTGGTCACAAAATAGGCTACGTATGTGGGCGGGGCAGAGTGGCTAGACAGGCAGCGATGCAGATGTGGCCATCAGCTGAGAAGAGGGGCAGACCTGTCGTTGGTCACCGTCGGCTTCAGCTGGATGTTGGCGAAGGGGTTCCTGAGGGGGGAGAGAGCAGTTTTAGTTTGGGGCAGGTACTTCGACAAGCTGTACCACCTGGGCTGCCCCATGCCCCTGGGAGCCCAGCACAGGTCCCTGATGGCCCAGCCTTAGGGCTCAGAGTCCATGGGCAATGGAGGCTGCTTGGGGGTTCAGGGGTAGGGCCACCACCCTCTGCTCACCCATCATGCTCCAGGCAAGGCAGGGCACCCCCACACCGATCTGTTAGCCCTCCCAGGTGAGGGACGGACACCCACTACGCGGAGGCTGGGAGCCAGCACCTTCTCAGGACTTGAGACAGTCCCCAACAGCGTCCACACCTATTGCTGAGCCCCCCTGCCAGGCCCAAGAACTGGTCTGCCGACCCCCAGGGATATGGCTCGGCACAGCACACAAACCCAGCCCAGCCGTGAGCATCTGCAGGAAGGCAGGCTGCAGACACGCGGGTCCACACGGAAGCACAGAAACGCGACACGACGGCTGACACCCACAGGGAAGCCCATGGGCCCTGCAGAGGGGTTGACTGCCTCCCGGGCCAGACGGTAGTTCCCCTGCTGAGGGCTCAGCCACTTGTCCCCCCAGGAGAGTTGTGCCCTCCCCCCACATCCCCAAGGGCCCCAGCTGATGCACAGATAAGACTCAAGAGACAAGAAGTTGAAATGGAACAAGATGAATACAGATGAGAAAGGCAGCCTCGCCTGGCCCTCAAAAAGCCTCCTCTTTGTTCCGGATGGGGACAACACAGGACAGCAGGATGGGGGATGTCAGGCAGCTCCAAGAGACACAGCACAGATGGCATGTGGACATGAAGACGCAGCAGGGACAGGACTGCACTCCGGCCAAGCTGTGCTCGGCTCTGGAGCTGTTACCTGACACGGAGTCACCTCTGGCACAGCTGGGTCTGCAGGAGCCCGGGCAGGCCGGGAGGGAGCCCACGGGGACAGGCGGCAGGAGCCCTGTCCAGTGTGCCCGGGAGGCAGCATGTGGGCTAGAGCATCTCCCTAGGTTTTCATGAGGACTTTGCATTTTCTAAAAAACTGAAACACTTTGGACTGTGAGTTTTTAACAGGAGACATCACGGAGTGGAGACTGCTAGATCAATGGGTGGCTTTCCCACGCCCAGACGGCGTCCCATCCTGCAACACGGACGCCACTCATCAGCTAGCCTTTGAATCAGGCCCCAGGATAAAGGCCACTCTCGACTCCGCCGGGCTTGAGGGTCTGTACCGTCCTGGCTTCTCTTGGCTTTTATCTGCGTTGGCAAGCTTCACCCCCTCGCATATGGCCCAGGCAGGGCTGCCTAGGAGTCTGAGGATGAGGATTCTGCTGCGACTGGCGATGGCTGCCTCCAGCAGTCCCTGAGTGCCCACGCCCTGCCTCCCACCCTGGTGAAACTAACTTCCAGGAAAGGGCCTCATGGCCCACATCCATCCCTAGGCCCAGGGTTGGGACAGGGGAGGTCCTGGGGAGATCAGAAGTGGGGGCAGATTTTTCTGTTTAACCTGGGACAGAGCAAAGAGCAGGGATGGGAGAACGGCTCAACACAGACCAGCGCCACACACAGCATGGCCCAGAGGGTCTTACTCCTGCCCTGACCCATGCTGGATTCCCATCAGAAATATTTGGTGGCAAAACCACTCTCGCCAGGACCAGACGGGGTCCGGCAGGGCTAGAAAGTTCTCTGCCCAGAGAGGGTCTCTGTTCTCTAACCCACACGTTTCGTTTCTCCTTCTCCGAACAGAGGGAGCATGTGGAACACACTGAGTCACCCACACCTCGAGGTTTTGAGGAGCCACAGATGCTGTGACCAGCCTTGGCCTGCTAGGGAGGCAGGCAGGAGGCAGCAGGGCCTCAGGGGCAGTACACCTTGGCAGCCCAGGCCAGGGGCCCCACCCGAGACTTGCTGAGGCCACAGGCCCACATTGAGGGGCCAGGTTGGGCAGCGTCCCACCCTCCAGAACAGTCTGTGGAAGACATATTCATGAGTCACCCAGGAACAGCCTGTATGGTCCCATGCAGGAGGCCCAGGGCCTAACACTGAGGCAATAGAATGTGACAAAATGCGGGACCCAACGTCACTTTGAGGTCTCCCATCTGTGTGTACCTGTCTCTGGGAAGCTGGGAGCCTGTGTGCCACCGAGTGGACCCAGCAACACTTATTCCTGCCAGAGGACACACCCAGGCTCCACTTCCTTCTGAACACCACCTAGGGCAGATAATCACTACAAACCACTGAGTCAAAACCAGTGTGTCTCAACCAGCAAGTCTCAAGCACAGCAACGGTCAGTCAATAACAAACATCCAGAAGTGTGAGCACCCTGGAGGCAGAGGCTGTATAACCTGTTGGGACCTATCGGGAGGGCCAGATGCTCTGACTTGGGAACACAGAGAACCAAGTTCTCTTTCCTTGTCAAGGGCAGCCCATTAGGCTCCTGCGCAGGACGTAGGAAAGACCGGTGGTTTTTACGCACAGAACAGACACCCATTCCCAGTGCAGGGCAGGCTGCAGGGCCAGCCATGGCTAGAGGCGCAGGTCAGGGAAACTGGTATGGGCTCAGGGTTCACAGGACTGGGGTACCTCTCCCCCACCCACAGCAGCTCTCATTGTGTCACAGGGGTCCCATTCCCACTACCCCAGCAAAAGCACACAGCACGGAAGAGTGTCAAGCAGGTTTCCATTTCAGTCTCTCAAAATTTAAGAGTACTGCAGACTTGAAGGGAACATCTAGGGTTGTTTTCCGAACCAACGACTTGTATGAGATCTGAGAACAAACCGAGTCATCACAAAGCACGTTTTGATCCTTAGAACAGAGAGGAGATGTAAGAGAGCAACTGACTTCTATCTTCTCCACGTAAACCATTTTTCCCACAGAGTGTTGGCCCTTCTGGAATTGAGTTGAGAGTGGATGCTCAGCTCTTTACTCTCATTTTGAGTTCCCCTCCCAGCCCCCTAAGCTTGGGACAAAGCAGGATCCCTCAACTAGCCACAAGTGGCTTTCGATACTCCCAGCCTCAGGTGAATTGTTAGACCAAGTAAGATGGGGAACCAGCTCCTGGTGCTGTGAGGTGGTGCTGGGACTAGCCTTATTGCCCCATGTCTTGCCCTACATCAAGGGAGGTGGTCCAGCAGGAGGCCATGCCAGCCTCCCTGAGGCTTCAGCCTTTCCTGAGCCTCACCGCGGCAAGGACAACACAGCCCACAATTGACTCAGAAGGACCCAGGGAGCAGTGAGGTGGGGGGTCTTGCAGGCCTCTCAGAGAGAACATTTCAAAGGTATACGGGAGCCAAAGCCAACCAAGGGCAATTTTATCCACCCTGTCCCCAAGTCCCAGGAGCATTTTTTGACAGAACTTTCCAGAATTCATGCTGCTTCTCAACAACAGAAAGGCAACAGAATACCAAGAGTCCAAGGCCTGCCTTGTGGTCTGGCTGCCTACAGGCTGGGATGCATGGCTGTGACTACCAGGAGATAAAGTGACCACCGCCCTTTCTAAAGGACAAAGGCACTGGCATCACTGAGCAACCTTCCTATACTGGTGAGGGGGTGGGAGGGCAGGAGACAGCACCTTCTCTTTGGGGTGAGGACAGATGGGCAACAGGGCCTGGCCGGACCCAGGCATAGGAGCAGAGGGTACGGCTCCTCCCTGCCTGGCTGGAGGCCTGGGCTTGCTTCCCCAAGACTGAAAGGGACTGTCGCCAGAAATGGGCTCAGGGGGTGCTCATCAGGGCCGAGGGCCTGCTCTAAACAGCCAGGCACAGCATCTTGGGACCATGTGGGGGGCACAGAAGAGGTGAGGTCAGACTGGGCAGCAGATCCCATGTCTGCCTGTCCCCAGCAGAGCTGACGTGTGCTCAGGTGCCCGTGGGGCTCCCGGGGCTGTCCCCAGGATCCCCACACCAACCCTGCAGCCCCCATTGGGCCATCACACCCACCAGCCAGGCACCACCCAAAGAGGAACACACACCTGAAGGAGCCCAAGCCAGGCACTGCATCGTCAGGTGGGAAAGGTGCACCTGCAGATGTTCACTGGGGTCTCTCTCTGGCTGTAGCTGAAGGGCCCACAGAGCAGGAGAGGGCCAGAACAACAACCCCGCAGCAAGGGACACCAGAGAGCAGATAGCCAGACCCACAAGCTTCCAAAAGGACGGAGGAAGACCCACAAGCCCGCAGTGCAGGCAAAGGCCCAGAGCCCAGAGCACAGGCAGGCTTGGTAGGGCCCTGGCCCCGCCAGACAGCCCGGCTGTCCCCACCCAGGCTGCGTGGCTGAGGCCAGAGTCGCTGGAGAGGCAGACTGACCGGTACAAGAAAACCAGGGCAACTTACTAACTCTAGTCAGGGCGGCTCAGAATCGGGCCACTTCCACCTCGGCACTGCAAGGAAACACAAGGGCTCGGTTGGAGGAGGTGGGGAAGAGTGGATCTGAGGACTCTTGGGGGGCAGAGGCCAGGCAGAAGGTGGAGGGCACCAGAGGCCCGGGACAGGCCACTAGGAAGAAACCTAGAGCCCTGGAACACAAGACACCAGTGGAGGGCTGGGGCTCCAGCCCCCGAGGATACCTGCAGCGTCTGCCTCTCTCTGTGGGCCTGGAGGGGGCCTGGAGGGAGCCTGGAGGGAGCCCCACTGGCCACGCTGTCTGCAAACCCAGGTGACTGCGGCAGACGGCTGGGCGTACTGCAAAGACTGGGCAGATGCGTGACAAAGGGGGCCTGGCCCCCATGGCCCTGGACACACATCAGGAACTGGAAGGACGCTCCAAACCCAACTCGATGCAATAAATAAAACTTTTATTCAAACAAGTAACCGCAGTACAGGGCACAGTTCAGATTTTTAAAAAAAGGAAAGGAAACAGGAAAAACTATTTTCAGCACTTTACATCTTCATACAAGTTTTGCTGTTTTGTGTCTACATTCATTCACTGAGCATGGAATCCCCTGGATTTGAAATCTTTTAGCAGAATGAGAACACCAACACAGAAGGTTCTCTTTACATAAGGTCCCGGTCCTGGCTTTGTTTTCTCCTTAGTATAAAACGGGTCTGTCTGTGTCTTGAGTTGCGTCTCTCACAAACACTACCAGCCACATCCTAGTCCACGGGGAGGTGTGCGGGAGGGTTTTGCTAAATCACATCACAGCTTCACAAGGGGCTCCCGCCGGCAGGCAGGGCTGAGCCGGGCTGTGCCCGTCACTCGGCTCCCCAGAATTCAGTGTGTGAAGAGACAATACCAGTAGCCACTGAGTCCAGTGTGTTTGTTTCTAAAGTCACCAAGACACACAAAAAGATGAGAGCATTTAGGAAGAACCGGGCAGGGACCGCCGGCTTCCCCGCAGGGAGGCGTGGGAGCGGCGTGTCCAAAGCCACCCCCCCAGGCCAGCCTGACCAGGCCTGGCTGCCATACCCTGCCCCATGCAGCCAGCTGGCCACAGGCAGCCCGGGTGCCCTCACAAGGCTGGTTAAAGAAACGATTTCCAAAAAACGTGGGGGTGGGGGTGGTCTCTGGAGGTCTTTGGAATGTCCGTGTGCGGCCGGGCAGCGCAAGCCCCGACCCTGTCCCACCAGCACACTGCGTGGGTGATGCCACCCTGCCGCAGAGGTGCCACCATGGCCTATGTACACCCATCCTGCAGTGTCTGGAGGGCAAAGCCCTCAGGGGCCCGGGGACCGCGGCCTCCCTCACAGGAGTAGCCAGCTTCCTCAGGAGGCCCCCCGAGCTTGCCACATGCCCTCTTTCTCCACCTGGCCCTCCCTAGGGGCCAGAGTGGGCTGGGTCCCCTGGGATGAGAGCCTCACCCGAGTACCTTCCCTGTCCTGACAGACGCCAGCGCACCGGGGAAGTCAGATGCAAATAACAGTACGTACACCGGAGTCCATGCATATCTGTTTTTGTGTTTTCAGGGAAAAAAGAGTCCTTTTTCCTGATTTTCAACTTTTTTTTTTTTTTTTAAGGATTTTTCTTTTTCTTCAAACTTTAGACCAGGCTCGCGGCGAGCCTTAGAAAAGGGGTGAGTGCCTCATGAATGCCAGGGGTGGGCTGAGGGTGCCCTGCACGCCCTGGCAGGCCCTGCCTGGCAATTTCTGCTCGAAAGGCTTGGGGACACACGGTGGAGGAGGGTGTGTAAACACAGGGAGCGGATGGAGCAGCACCATGGACCCTGGGGGATCACAGAGTCTGGGGTCACCAACCAAAAGGCAGGGGGCAGGTGGAAAAGAAAAACAACCCAAGAACAAACCAGCGAGAGCTGAGGAGGAAAACGGATGGAGACCAAGGGGAGGGGGCGGAAGCTCTTCAGAGCAGCAGCTGCCCGAGGTCAGCGTCCTCACACTGTGGACACCAGCGTGCCGCTGCCGCTGTGAAACAAAGCACAGGACAGCTGCCCGGCTGCACCCTGCTGCCCAGCCAGAGGCCACATGCCCGCCGAGCAATGGTCCTTTCCAGCAGCTTCCATCAGCCAGCCAAGCCCAGGATAAGCCCAGGCGGAGCAGAGGCCACAACCCCCAGCCATCGATGTTGGCCTTAGCTGGTTCTGGGGAGATGAAGCCCAGTAGTGGGCGAGCCGCCCTCCCCAAGCCTGCCCTTGCCCAACAGAGGTGGACAGGGGGGGCCTAGCTTCCAGGAAGAAGGAGCAGGGGTCAGAGGATTCCTTGCTCCATTCGGTTAGCGCATGAACCCCAGGGGAAGGGGGGGCAGCTCTGGCAGGAGGCACAGGGCCAGGCTGGGCCCCAAAGGAAGAAAAGCTGCCCTTGGAGGTCCCAAGAGAGGGGCCTGTCCCCACCCAGACCCTGATGCACCCACTCGTGGTCCCAAGGATGGGTCTACATGCCCCTTACCTGCTCACAGACCGCGCTCCATAGTCGTCTAGACCCTGGGGAGCAAAGGCAGAGACAGGTCAGGCTGGGGGACCTTGGACCCAAAGTCGACCCTCTTGTGCAAATGGACAATCCTACCTCGGTGGGGCTCACACCAGACTCTCTGGGAAGACTACCCCTCCCCTGCTTCCCAGCCCCAGTAGTCAGGGACCTCTCTGGAGCCCTTGGTCCCCAGGCATGAAGTGGTGACCTACCAAGTGAACTGGGACACATCCTGATCAGACCAGTGGCGACTGGATTGTGTGTGTGCTGGTGACCCACTCCAGAGATTACCTAAGACCTCCCGTGCGAACACCACCACCAACCAACCCCCCCAACCCCCACCGCAGAGAGCTGAGGCCCTGGCAGAGCACCTGCAGGCCCCTCACAAATCCTGTGCTTGCCCCTGGGGGTGCATACCCCTGAGCCCCTAGGCCCCACCTGCAGTTTCCTGGAAGCCTGTCATGTGCAATGTCCCAGACCCTGGGAGGGTGATGTTGCCCAGAAGGAAAAGCCCAGGTAGGGGCCTGTGGCTGGCTGTGCACTGCCACCACACCTCTGCCAGCCTGACCTGCGTGGTGGGCATCAGGGTGGCTTTCCCAGCACTAAAACTGACCCAGAGACTGGGATGTGAGAAGCAGCTTAGTGCCCAGAGGAGCCTCTGAAGAGCCTCCTGTGGCCTCAGCTCATGCCTTCAATGTGGGGACACCTCACCTGTCGGGTCAACACCTGGGCTGTCACCAGGCTGCCCAAATCTTGGAAAGAATCAGGCTCTCTTCTCTCCTTCCCGATGCCTGAGGCCCAGCCTTAGAGACTGGTGCTTGGGGCAAGGCTGCTGGCCTGGTCCTGACCTCACAGACACAGCAAACAAACATCCCCAAACCAGAACCTCAGCTAAAAACTCCCAGGTTGATGGGGGGCTCCACCTTTCCAACCCCATGAGCCCTCCTGGACAGAGCAAGGTGGGACCACACTCTCACACCCAGGCCCAACTTAGACCCCAAGACCACCAGGGCCCACACTCAGGGCCTAGGACCCAAGCCCTGATCCTCCACCTCTGGCTCCCAGTACTGAAGGACCCAGCCCCAGGGTCTCACTGACTAGAAGGTTCTGGTCACATCCAGGGCCCCAAGCAGCAGGTGCTCACATCATCACCTGGACATGACATATGAAGCCCTAGGGCTCTCAAGGAAGGAGCTCCTAGGAGCTAAGTCCTCCCTGACTCCCAGGCTTCTCCCAAGAGATGGTGGCCAGGTCTACCTCAAGGTCAGCACTTCCCAGCCCACACTGCACCCCTGGGCAGGGCAGCGAGCTGTGTGTAGTTGGTCAAGGACACTGTTGGATGGGCTGATCCCCAGTCTAAGTCATCAGACAGATGGAGCCTGGCAAGTGGGGCGGCCACCTTGTGGATGCAGTAGGGGTCTGCACCAAGTCCAAAGCCCCAGAGCTCTCACCCCAGGCCAGTCAGGCAAGAGACCCAGCTGCTATCTGGTCCCTCAGTGGAGACTGAGAAATGGAGCCCAATGTAGGGCTGCAGGCCAAGCGCACAGTTCCATCCACCCAGGCCCCTGCCACGCACCTGGGAAAAGGCAGGCACAGCCACACTGTAGGGCCTCTGCTTGAAGGTGCCAGCCGTCTGGGTGGGGAAGGCCCGGGAAGATGCGCCATAGTCAGGGGGCGGGATGGCCAGGTCATCCTTGTCCAGAAGGTTTCCAGTGCTGCTACTCTTCCCCTGCTGCAGGCTGTGGGGACAGGAGTTCAGAAACTGCCCAAGAAGCCGAGGCCCTGCTGTGGGTCCTGGGGGCAGCCCAGCCCACCTTCCCTGTGCCTCACTCAGCCCTGCACAGGGTGTGAAAAGAGTTGCTCTCAGTGGTCGAGGTTGCAGCCATGCAGACCCATGGCCTTCCCAGCCTGACCTCCTGGGCTGGTCACCTGAACCACGGGCCTCAAACATCCAGTTTGGGGCTGAGGGGGCTGCCCTGCAAGAGGAGAGATGGAGCCAGAAGCCCAGCCAGCTCTCAGTGCCAAGAGGCCGGGGGAAGACCATCAGTCTCATGACAGGCTCTCTCCGGGGCTGACAGTCACACACTGCTTCTGCCCTGGCGGCTGCTCACCTCATGTGCAACCTGTCGCTGCCATCGCTGTCCAGGACCCGTGTGTAGGAGAAGGGAAACCAGCCCCGCCTGAAAGAGAGGCCCTGGGTAAGAGGCCCATGCTCCACCCCAAGGCCTGGGCAGGGAAGCGGGGCACCCCTGCCCACAGCCCTCCCCACCCCCCACAGACCACCATCCAATCAGCTTCCTAGCTTGGCTGCATTCGTCCACCTGTCTGGCGGGGGTGGAGAGGAGGAGGACAGGTGCCGGCACTCCAGGGAGACCTGGGACCCCAGTTGTACTCTGGTGTGTACTCAGCCCCAAGGGCAAGGCAGCTCCAGCTATCCCTGCCCTGATGGGCACCCACAGGACCCCCAAACGTAAGCAGAACTGCTGTTCCTGTCCAGGCTGGCCTATGCCGAACCACAGCACAAAGACATGAGTCCTCGGAAGAGGCAGCAGTCTCACGGGGTGTACCTTCCCAGCTCTCTTCCCAGGGCAGTGGCTGCCTGAAGCCAAAGCAAAGCTCAGTCCACACCCACCCTCCTGGGTTAGGAAGACAAAAGTGTTAAGGCTGATTCTGCCAGAGGCGACATCTCCCATGTTGCCAAGAAACACCTCCACGAAACAGCCCTGGGAAGGGGGAGGCCCCAACACAGGCAGCCACCAGCCACAATGGACCTTGGCTCAGCCTCTCTGCAACTGTATTCACTTAAGCCATAAAAGTGTAGCCCACTAGACTTGACAAGGCGACTTATAGAAGCCCAACCCGAGGGCCCATCAGACACGCAGGAGAGTCATGGGCACCAGAAAGGCCTTGGGGGTCCCAGGCTGGCTAAGCCCCCTCTGCACCTACAAAGTGTGAGAAACCGCAGGTCTGCAACAGGGCAATGCCCAGAAGTGCTATGGCACGTGCATGTGGGAACTCCATGCCCTGTGTCAAACTGAGCAACATGGAAAGTGATGGAGCAAGGTAGTAACGAGTGACCCACTCTGTGATGAAGGTCACTGCCATGGGGCAACGCTCCTACTGTCCAAGTTCTCCTATAGTGAGAACCTGCGACCTAGGCCATCAGTCTAAAAAAGGGCCCCAAGTCGCAAGTGACTACGAGCACCGCAGTCAGGATGCTGCTCACCCCACACGCTCACTGAAGGTGGGCAGGCTGCCGACCCCTCATACTCCCCCAGGTGGGCACTCACATCTTGGTCTTCTCACTCTCGCCATAGTGCCAGCCGTCACGGGCCTCGGGCACCAGCAGAGTGATGAGGTCGCCTTCCTTGAAGCTCAGCAGGGTGCTGTTGTCCCCAGCCGCGTGGGAGAAAATGGCTTTCACCCGCATGCGCCCATTGCGCTCTAAGCCGGCAGCCATGGAGCTCGAGCGGGGCAGAGTCTTGTTCTCAGCTGCCAGTACAGGGAGGCAAGTGTGAGGAGAGTGTCCCCAGCTGACGGGGCAGCAGAGCTCTTACTGGTGGTAGAGCTCTTTGGAGTGGGGGCGGGGAGTGTGGCCAGGCTCTTGCACATGGGGAGGAGGCTGGGGAGCCTGGACACAGTGCTGAGACATCACAGCCCAGGCACCAGGCAGGACGGATGGCCCTGGCCTGGGACTCACTGAGCTCCCCGAGCAGCGTCCATCTGCTCCTAAGTCACTAGGTAGCCCGCTGACCCCGGATCACATTCAAAGCTACACTGTACACCACAAACTCAACAGGAGGGATTAGGTGCAGGATGAAATTCTCAGGGGGCTATATAGGTGCGTGATGCACACACACGTGCACACAGGTACACCCAAGCATGCACACACGTGCACATAAGCATGCATACACATTTAGACAGAACACTTAAGCACACACACTTGAGAGCCATGGGGGTCTCCTGGGCCCCTACTCAGAGTGTGTAGCCCTTACTGGTGGCGTAGCTGTTTTTGGGTGTCACGCTTTTGCGCACGGGGAGCGTGTTGGAGTACGAGTCACTCAGCTTGCTCTGAGACTGCGGGGGGGACAGTGACTTGGGCTGGGCAGCCTTGCGGTCAGCCCAGGGGTTGTAGTCCTCGCCATCTGGACCTGCAACGCCGTTCATGATGGGTGCGTTGTCCTGGGCAGACATGCGCTGCAGGGAAGAGGAGGCCAGGGCTGGGTGTTGCCAGGGCCTGCCCTAGGCAGGCCCAGGTGGGAGAGAACCCTTCCCCCCGACCCAGCAGGGGCCCTGGGCTCCATACAAGGGCCAGCCCCTGGGAGAATGGGCTGCCCTCAAAGCCAGCCCAGTGCAAGGGGCCTCCTCCCACAACCCAGGAAGCTTCTGGGGTCACAGACTCACCCCCACAAATGGCGCCAGCTCAGGGGGCACTGGCAAGGGCTTGGCCCCGGGAATGGGGTCTGAGATGACCAGGTTGGACTTGGAGGCTGACAGGGCGCTGGGGAGGATGGCACCATTGCTGCTGGCCATCTGCTGCATCAGCTGGACGGCGCGGTCCGGGATCTTGTTGGGGTCGGCACAGGCCTGCTGCCACAGTGGCAGCTTCTGAGCCAGCAGCTCCTTTCCCTGTAGCAGAGGAGGCAGGACAGGAGGGGTCAGGTACAGGATCCCATAGCCGGGCAAGGTCCAAGTACCCTCATAGGCAGGGGCACTTCGTTGGGGCTGAGAGCTGCTCTTTGACCAGGCAGTGCCTCTCAGCAAGATAGGACTCCCAATCCACAAATGGGGCTTCCCAGAAAAGGGCCAGTACACAACCACAAGCCGTCCAAGGACCTGCAGGCATGAGATCAGACCTGGGCCCAACTCTGCCAGGGCATGTCGGGGCCTGGAGGAAGGTGAAATAGAGAGGAGCTCACACTGTTAGCCACGGGACAGGCAGACCCTCTGCAGGCAAACCACAGAACGTTAGGAAAACAGCACCACCTGGCAGGTGGAGAGGACGTCACCCACAGGAAAGAGCTGCACTGCCCAGCAGGGGTCAGGCGGGCTCCTGAGGGTCTGGGATGGCAAGGTGGCCTTGTCAGGCAGCCTCCAGCAGATACATCAGCACTCACTGCTCTGTTCACCACCCATGTCTCTGAGAGCCGGCTCTCGCTCTGGTATACACTGGGGCCTCCTGGGACACAGCTGACTGGATGAACACAGCAATGACAAAAGAAGTCACAGCCTGATTAGGGGTCCTGGGGCAGGGGGCTGCCTTGAAGCTGGGGTCCAGGTCTGCTGCAGGGAATTCCCAGGGGTTGAGAGCAGCTGTGCCTGGGACCTGGGCACTAATGGAGCAGCTCCTGCCCCCCCGACCATTTGGTCCACCAAGCGGACGGCAGGGCCAGCATCACTGGGCTCCCACACAGACCCCAGAGCCCTTAGACTAGAGCTACTGGTTGTGTCTGCAGCACTTCCGGGAGCCTCTCCGGCCCTCACTGCCTGTCCCCTTCTTCCTTCCCCATTCCCTTCAACATGTACCTGGGTGGTCAGGGATACCACGCAGGGGAAAGTGGAGGGTACTGGACAACAGCCCTTCTCAGCAGGTGGCTCACCGCACCACCTCTGTCTTAGACCAGGGGGCAGCAAACCACAGCCCGACGGCTAGCATCCCGTTTTGTAAATAACGTTTTACTGGAACACAGCCTTGTAACCTGCGGCTGCTCCCACGCTGTACGACAGAGACAGAGACTGCGCGACCCACAAAACCAAAGGCATTTACTATCTGACCTTTAGGAGAAAGTGTACTGACCCTGGTAACAGATGGTAGAGGAGTGAGTCTGGGGGCAGTGTGAGAGCCAGGCTGCATCAGGCCAGCAAGGACCAGAATCAGTGGGAACAGCAGCCTCCCAGTAGCATGGCCCTCATGAAACAGGAAGGAGCACCACTCGTTCGTGACTCACACAGGGGCAGACACACTCAGACAGATGCAAGCCAATGTCACTTCCACCCTGAGGCCTCTCTGCAGGTCACCTCAGAGCAAGCCTGAACCCAAGCACCAGAAAGCTGCCTGGTCACCTTGCTACTGAGGCTGCCTTCATGCCCTAGTCTGCAGCCCAGGGGCTTGACCAAGTGGGCGTTTGTTTTTTTTTTTGAGTTGGAGTCTCACTCTGTCACCCAGGCTGGAGTGCAGTGGCACACTCACTGCAACCCCAACATCAACCTGCTGGGCTCTGGCGATCTTTCTGCCTCAGCCTTCCAAGTAGCTGGAACTAAAGGTACACACTCCCATGCCTGGCTAATTTTTTTTTTTTTAATTGTAGAGTCCAGGTCTCACCAACTTGCCAGGGCTGGTCTCGAACCCATGGGCTCAGACAATCCACTCACCTTGGCCTCCCAAAGTGCTGGGATTACAGGCTGAGCCACCAAGCCCGGTCCCAAGTGAGTTTACAAGATACCTGCCTCTTCTAGATATGCCCAGGGGGCCAGGAAGCCTGGGGTGGGGTCCAGCTTCCCCAGAAGCCCAGCCATCACCATCGCACGGGCACCATCCGCATCACCACCTGGGAGGCGGCAGCTCCCGCAGCAAGCAGCATGGCTTCCCTGCCCTCCAACCCCGTAGGTGGCACAGCCGGCTGTCCACGTGCTGCTCAGCCACAGATGGTCCCTGCTCTCCCTTCCTGACACTGTCACAGGACCCAGCTCCCACTAGAGGGCGCAAATGACTGCCACTGTCCTCTGTGTCTTGTGGCAGAGCTGGGGCTTGCAGATGGGAGGCCCCTGTTCCCATGCTGCTCCCCTAACCACTGGGGCAGGACAGCCTGCTGCCAGTGAGCTCCCCCAGTGCATGCAAAGGCACGGCTGGAGACACAGCCAGTGCAGCGTGCTCCCCAGGGGGACACAGATGCCGTCACTGTCCTTGTTTTGCACCTGCCCACAGTGCCCAGCAAGCCCAAGCCAGTAGACGGAACCTCTCTGGGGGAGGAGGGAGGCACATATCTCCTTGGTATTCCCAGCCCATAGGGATAAGAGCAGTGGTTCCAGACCACAGTGTGCACATGTGAGAGCATGTATGTGCATGGGGGGGGCAGGGCAAGTACCAGTGTGTCCTAAGGGTCCCTCGAATCCCTTTATTTAAAAATGACATGACCTCCCCTGTTGGCTCAGCTGTCAAATTAGATCTTCTTCTAAGTTCTTGGAATGTTCTAGAATGTTCTGGGGGCCAGAATCTGATCCCACCCCAGCTCCTGCCTATAGACTATGGGGTGAACAGGGGCCTGCTGATGCCACCTGTAACCAGCAGAGGAATCTGTCCTCTGGGCCCCGCCTGCTCCAGGGGCTAAGTCAGCCCCCCGGTGAGGGGTTCTCACTCCTGTGGTGGGCCTCTGACCCCAGGACCCAGAACTGCATGAACCTGTGGAGGGGGCCCACTGCAGCCCCTCCCTGAGAAGCTCACTCCTTAAAGAAGCCCCAGTGTCTTTGTTCAGCAAGGATAGGCTCAGTCCTGGAACATGGAGCTTCCCAGGGCAGGGTCCCCACCACCCAAGGAGCTTCCAGGCTGGGGAGGCCTAGCAGGAAACTCAAGGTTAAAGGTCTGTGATGGGGTGGGCTAAGAACAGCAGCAGAGACTGTGGGCTGGGTAGGGGGCCCTCATCAGACTGGGGGCAGAAAGGTCTCTCGGGATCAGGAAGCAGAGGAGGACATAGCCAGGTGCCTCTGGATCCCACCTTGGTGGCTCATGGGCGCAGAAGACAAGTGGGGTGGCAGAGGCCCCACGTCCCCCCAGTCACAGAGAATCCAGGAGGCCAAGGAGGCAGAGTGGGAAGGGGCAATGGGGAGCAGCCTGGTGTGCTGGGCAGGGCCCAGGACTACCCAGGAAGCGGAATGGTGGAGTAGGTCTAGGGCTGCGTGAATGCAGCAGGTTCACATGGGATAGCTGAGCTGGGACAGCTGCTGGCCTGGGACTAGGAAGGCCTGGGGATCGGCGACACAGCCTGGTCAGTGTCCTCTCGGGCCTCCCCAGTCTTGAATAGCTGAGGACCCTGGGCTAGGAGCTGGGAGTCCTCAGAACCTTGGGAAGGCAGAGCCACGAGCCTGAATGCTGCACTTCATGACTGTGGGTTGAGGGAGAGCCACCAGTAGGGGCAAGTGGACGCACAGAGCCAACCCGCCAGGTGCCCAAGTGAGGACCCCTGCACCACCAAGGAGTGCCAGTACATCCAGCATGGCATCAGCCCAGGCTTCACCAGGACACAGCTGGAGCAGAAGAGTCAAAGAATGTCCTAAAGGGCCCTGGAAGCCCACCACACCCTCCCTTAGCAGGCTGTTGGTACAATCAATCTCAAAAACACACCTGGAAATTTCTTCTTTTTTTTTTTTTTTGAGTTGGAATCTCACTCTGTCGCCCAAACTGGAGTGCAGTAGCCGCTCCCAGCCACCACAGCCTCGACCTGCTGGGCTCCGGCGATCCTTCCGCCTCAGCCTTCCGAGTAGCTGGAATTACAGGCATGCGCTACCACGCCCGGCTGATTTTTGATTTATTGTAGAGATGAGGTCTTGCCAAGTTGCCCATGCGGGTCTCGAACCGGCGGGCTCAGGCAATTCACTCACCTCGACCTCCCGAAGGCAGGGGATTACAGCCTGAGCCACTGCGCCCGACTTCACCTGGCAATTTCTAATGGAAGTCTTCAGAACACTCACACCCTCTGACCTGATAATTCTTCTAGCACTCTATGCCATAGAAAATCGGAAGTGCATGACAGTTCAAGCCCAGATATTCCCCCGCTGTGTTCACAGGGTAGGGGTGGGGGTAGGGGACTCGGTTCCTTTTGTGCGCCAGGCCCTGCTGTGACAGCAGCCCCGGAGCCCCACCTCACCTTGGAGTGGTAGGCAGCGGAGTTCTTTGCCACGGCACACTGTTTCTCCACCAGGAAGCAGAACCGCCTCCGCTCCTCAGTGAGGGCCGTCTTGTAGCCATCCGAGACATAGTTCTCCAGCTCGCCCTGCTTGTTGCTGATGGCATCGATGTACTGGTGGGAAGGACAGAAATAATTAGCTACTGACAGGAGGACGTGCGTCAGGCCCAGCTCCGGGCAGCCCCACAGATTTAGTCAAACAATACGCCCTGTTCGTGCAGACTGGAGGCTGAAGACAGAAAGACATTTGGGACACTCAGGAGAGGCCTATGACAATGTCCCCTGAGGTCTCAACTGCTCAGGGACCTCCCATGGGGTGTCTGTCCACACCAACCAGTGCAGCCAGGGTCCTATCTCCAGCAAGAGGACTCCTGTAGGCCAGCCCCTCTATGCAGCCATGGTCTGGACACCTTGAAGTGGACAGGTGTGGCACAACCTCACAGTACTCTAGCTGCATGGCCCCAGAACAGTTTCTTGATCCCCCATGGCACCTGGGGTGCCTTAGGCCTATCTCCAGAGACTCCAAGTCACAGCTCTGTCAGGAGACAAGGAGGGGCAGAGCCCGAGATGCTGACCGAGGACCTGGGATAAGCCTTCTGCTGGGAAGGAGACAACAGGCTCACCTGCTGGCTCTTGCTCTGAGTGGGCTGGGGAGGGGAGCAGGTAAACACCTCGAAGACTATTTTCTGAATGACCACCCACCAAGAGGAGAATGTGAGAAGTTCATGAAGATGATGAAACAAAAAGTCACTGAGTGGGGAGCAGGGAGCCTAGAAAGCAAGGCTCCCTTTTTGGGGCTGTGAGGGTCTGGCTTTCATCAGAATGGCATTGGGGGAGGGGCCACACAGAGTGAGGACTGAGAAGCGGCCCAGACTCCTGACTTCCCACCTCGGAGCTACCCAAGTGCGCATCCACCATGTCCCCTTGTGACAGGGTAAAAATGTGCCCAGGACAGACATGGCTACACTGGAAACCCTTAGCCTTTGTGGCTGTGCTGGGCTCAGGAAAGACAATGGTTAAACCAGACCCTGGGACCCAGGGAGCAGCCAGCAGGTATCCCCAGCCCCAGATCCAGAGATCAACCCCATTGTAGCCTCTAATAGCTGTGGATCTGGCTCTGACCGTTCACAGCTGTCAGGTTCTGGCCACTCTGTGCTTTTTGGTGGACACAGAACCCATGTAAAAAGGGTTCTGGCTACACAATCCAAAAAAGAAAACTGAATCCCCAGCCTGACAGAGCTTCCAGATCCAAATATCAATTCCAAACATACCAGGATGAAGGAATACATTAAAAACAGCACCCCATAGAGTCTTCAGATTCACAGAGACAGCAAGTAGAAATGGGGGTGCCAGGGGCTAGGCAACGGGGTGGGGTTTTGTTGTTTAACGAGGACAGAGTTTCAGTTTGGAGGATGAGAAAGTCCTGGAGGTGGATGGTGGTGGTGATTGCACAGTGTGAATGTACTTACTGCCACTGACTATACACTTCAAAATGGTAAGTTGTATAAGTTATGTGTATTTTGCCACAATTGTTTAAAATAGCCTTTTAAAAAGTGGTGCATCCAAACAGACTGAGAGAGGTGGCTGGCAGAGCCTTTTCAACAAGTTGCAGGGAGAACCCTGGGAGGGGGTTGTTGGGGGAGAGAGCAATTTGAAGGTAAGAGCGCCAGCTGCAGGCAGGGTAGAGAACTGCTGAGCCCCTGCAAGGCCATGGGCTGAGTGCTGGGTCTGCCGTGACTCACGCTGGCCAGCGGGATGGATGCAGATGGCAGTGACAGTCCCAAACTCTAGGGCTTTGCCTCTGTCCCTCTGGGAGGAGCATGCCACCTACCCACCAGGCCCTCCAGACCCCAGCCGGCACACGACGCGTCAGACCTGGGGCAATTCTGATTCCAACAACCAAAACCACCTTGACAATCTGCATGGGCCCTGGATGTAGAAGAGCGGCTGGTTCACACCCAGGCCACTTGGTGCTGGGTGATGTCAATCATTCTATTTGTTGGTTGGAAACTTTCCGTCTCCAAATGCTGACAAGACCACAGGTGACCGTCAAGAGCAAGGGAGCAGCACCTTAGACCAGATTCTGCCCCAAAGCAGACACCCAGACACCCTCCCTGGTGTCTGCATGGTTGCAGCCCCTCTAGCAGGGTGCCAGCTTCTCTTTTGCAAGAAGACCTTTCCAGCTCTCTCCCTGCCTCGTCTCGCCTCTCCTCCTGAACTTCACACTTCCCTTAGCTGCGTCCCACCTGGCCTGGAGTAGACTGTTCACAGCAGGCACAGATCCCCTGCCCACCCACCGTGACTGCACCAAGAATTGGCTTTTTCAGAATTGGTTCTTAAAAGGCCCGTCCTCCACAAGGGGGCGGCCTCCCCTGCCTGACTCACGGCTGCCCGCCCAGCGCTCTGACTTAGTGGGTGGGTGGCGCTGAGCAGGTGGGCGGCTGGAGGGGGGGACAAAGCAGGCTGTTCCCTGCTGCCTCCTCACACAAGCCTCTGAGAGGACAGGACGGCTGGGTGTGGGCTGGTCTCCAGCACTGCCTCCAGGGCACTGGCTCAGCCTGCTGGCCACTGTGAACCAACCACACTGTCCCCAAGGCCAGAGCCTCCCCGGCCTTCACGGAACATGGTACCTCCACTCACTCTGCCACGCAGACCACCGCACCTTATCACACTGAACTCCCACCCCTTTTCTCTGGGGAAAGCAACTTAAATGGGCCTCAAAATAGTTGGCTTGCAACTCCCATCCCCAAATCAAGGCCACAGTTTCAATAAATAAGCCTGGACCCTCCTGAGTGGCCAGAGGGCCCAGCCACAGGGCCCTGAGATGGTACTTGAGGAATGATAAGTCTTAACACAGGTGAAGGCCCCCTGGGCAGCCCCCAGTGGACTCTCCAGCAACTCTGCTGTGCCAAAGCCTCTGTCTCTGTCTCTGCCCCCTCTACCGCCCCTGCCACCACCACCGCCCCTGCCACCGCTGCCGCTGCCACCGCTGCCGCCTCCTCCTCCTCCGCTTGGAGCACAGAGTACTTTTCCTCTGGTTACGCAACATGCACCTACCAGGGCCTCCTACTTTTGCTCCCAAGAACCTCCTGCGCACTCCCAAGTACCTTCTCTAGGAAGCAGGGAAGTGAACCAGCCAGATTCAGGGACACCCTGGGCTTATGGAGGGAATGGCAGACATGGCCAGGATGTCACACGCTGAAGCCATGGAGGAGGGCACCTGGCCAAGCTGTGCTCTGGCCTTGGCCCGGGCTCCCTTCCCCGCCTTTAGGATAAAAGGGCCTGGCTGGGGCGAGACCTGCTCAGATGCACTTGTGCGGGAAGAAGGGGCTAAGGCTGAACATGCCCACACCCCCTGCCACTCAGAACAATACCCACCACCAGCCTGTGGTTGTCTGCAAGGCTCACACCTACCCTGCCCTGTGGTCCAGGGAACTATCAGGGATGGTGGTAGTGTGGCCTCCAAGCTTCAACAGGCCATGATGAAGGCGTCTCCCTTGGTCCCTGACCCCATGTGCAGGGGCACACAGAGGGCTCGGTTTAGGCACACAGAGGGCTCAGCCTGTCCCTAAGAGAAGCAGCCTCAGGAGCACATGCAAGGTTCCCAAAAGGGAGAACAGGTAAGTCCTCAATCTACCCCTGCCCTTGGGCCACTGAGCCCTCCCTGGGGACTTTTCCAGCGTGGCCAGGCCTGGAGGGCATGGTACGTGACTGTATCCAGGGCCCAGGGGGCTCAGCAGGAGACACAACCTCCAGGCAAGAGGAGCTGAGGAAAAGGCAGACCCAGAGGGCTGCCCAGAGCTACGGCCTCTATGCAAATTGCCACCTAAATGGGACTCAGGGGACGGAAAGGCGCTGCTTGGGGCGGTCACCCTGGGACAGCTACATAAACCAGGCCGCGAGGCCCCCAGGCCTCCCCACCCTGAAAACAGCACCTTCCAAACCAAGGCTCTTGGAGCTGGCCCAGCTGCCCACCCTACAGAAGGTTTCTGGGTTTTTAGGCTGCAATGCTGCCTCCATAGTGAGGCACGGCTCCCTGGAGTGAAGGGCCAGCCATGGCACTGGCCTCATTTGCGGGGTCTGGCAGCCTCCTGTGCCAGGGAAGGACTGCTGTTTTATTTTTAAGATTTCCACTTACTCAAATGAGCCCATGAACAGCTGGGAGTGGCACAGGTCACAACGGGAACCCAGGAGAGTGGAGGAAGAGGGAAGGGAAGCGTGTCTGTGCTTCTGTGCCATGCTCTGTGCTTGGGTTGGGCTCCTGGTGGGTCCTAGCCCTGGGGTGGGCAGGCAAGAGGCATTTTCCCAGAGCTACACTGCATAGACAGCCAGTCCCCAGTGGCCTCCAACAGGGCTGACGGCTTCTGCCTCACGTTCCGAGTCATTCAGCCGCTTGGAACCCCCACACAAGCATCCAGCCAGGGCAGAGCCCAGGTTGGCATGTGACACAGACTGCCACTCTGTCTAGGAATGACGGCCGCCTCTCCTGACCTCCTTTTCCAGGGCACTAACTCCGTACGAAGAGAGGCTACAACTTTGCTGGCAGATCCTGGAAATCTAGGCCACGCGAGAAGCCTCACCTCATGAGGGGGGCCGGTGGGGCATGGGAGGGAAGGAAGTGGCCACCCTCCCTGCAGGGCCTAGGCCACTCTGACCTGCTGTTGGACAGGGAAGCCCCTGTAGGGGGAGCGTCAGAACTTTCTGGAGAGTGCAGAGGACAGAGAATGGCCTGGTGTACACCACTGACTTGGCAACAGGCCATTTAAAATGGCACCAAGCCTGTCCCTGCAGGCGGGCTGGCCCCAGTGGCCAGGTTCCTCGTGTCCCCGCCCCGCGCCGCGTGCTCCTTGCTTAGCTGGGTGCTATGGCGACAGCACTATAGAAACACCCAGCTGAAAGCATTTCAGACCCACAAAAACGCTCCCACTTAGTCACCCTGGGCTGAACAGCCCTGTGATCCGAGAAGACAAAAGTGATCAGAACACATCTCCTCTCCTCACAGAAGCTCGGCAGTGACTCAGAGTGGGGGAGGGGCCTTCCAGAAAAAAACCAAAGCGGCTTTGGTTTACCTCACCCGAGATGGCCGCCACAGCTTCCCTATGCTTCTCACAAAT